TCAGCCTTTCATTGCCGCAATTTCCGACGTCCGACGCCGGCGTGCTGCGGGAGAAGGAGCTCAAGGATCAATTTTGAGTATATGGATGACATGCATCATTTTTACGTGTATTTTATAATGATTTTTGTGTTCGTTTCGTCGTAATTTGATATATAATTAATTATTATTTAATTAATTTTATTGCTATTACGAAGGTGTTTTATCTTGTGTTTTGATAGAAAATGGGCACGAATAATTATTGGAGTCGAAAACGGTGTGAAATGGATATATAAAGAGTGCGAGTCATGCATTTGGGACGAGCCCAATACATAGCCCGCAAGGATAATCAAAACAACCCAATTAGAAGACCAATCAGGCCTAAGTGCCCAGCCCAAATGCTCAGTCCACATGTTCATTAAATAGAGGGCAGTATAGTCATTTTGCAACAAATGTTGAATGGGAAAGGGTTGTCTGCTAAAAACCGAATCAAAATTTTCAGTTTGATCGGTTTCGTTTGGCTTTAGCCGAACTATGCACGCAACATTTGAAACTAATTGTTTTCTCTATTTCTCCTAGAAAAACTCCAAAAATAAAGTCCAACAAATGTATTTGGCTCAATTTTGGTTCCGTGAACTTTTTTTCTCTTTCTAATTTAGTGATTGATGTCAGACAGCCTTTACCTCTAAATTAGATCATTGTAGGCAGTTTGCGGATGTTTTTAATTTTGCTACATTATTGTTATTCTTTATTTTTATATTTACATTTTTCCACTCATATTATTTTTCAATAGTTTTGGCTCTTCGTGATTTTTCTTTTCAGTTATGTTTCTTCGTGGTTTGTTTTGTTACTTTCTCACTAGTACGTACCCCGTGCGATTCAGGGATCGGAGATATTAAATGAGTTATTTTCAGATGCTCTGTTTGTTTAAGTCTAAAAAGCAATAGGATTATCATTTATTTTTCACCTCTTTTAATCAGCGTTAAGTTAAAAAAACAAAAGGGTTACATATATTTTCCATCTCTTTAATCAGCATTGTTTTCTTAGCCAGAACATTAAATATGGGCGTGTTAGGGCTAGCTTGTAAAATAATTAATAAATTATCTCACTAACTAAGTTATACTAATATAAATTTGATTTTAGTATATATAATTATTCCTTGATATAAGAGAAAATAACAATTTTACTTATTATTGTTCACCATGTAATACTTAGTTATTATTTTATTACAAACTTTGTTGTCATATAATGTTATTATTATTTATAAAAGTAATAGAAGTTGTACGTCTTTTTTTTTATTTTATGTAATTAAAAATATTTAATGCATGTTAGTATTATTTATTTATGTAATCAATTTAAAATATATAAATAAATTTTAAATTAATTAGTGTATAATATTTTACACAATATGCACACGTGTTTTTTTAGAATATAATTTTGTATAATAATTAAACAACTTTGATTTAGCAAATGTCAAAAATTCAATCCCTTCTATAATCAAGATTTTTCTAATTTGTATTATAGGGATTTATAGTTTATTTAGCATACTGTGCAATGATAATACATTTTACAAAAATTTTATTATAGAAAGAAATAAAAAAAGATGATAAAAAAAAGCATGGTTGCCAATAATATACAAATAAATTTTAAATAACAGTTAATATATTTCAATTTTAATTTTTGATCATTAGTAAAACTAAATGTATTTGATCATTATCTCTTAAAGGGTAAATTATATTAATTTAAAAAATAATTTTTTTGTATATATATATATAACGAAATAAATCTTAAAAAAAATTATGTTAGCAAATACTAAGTCACCAACTTGATTTAGAGGAGTACTTCGTGTGTATATTCAAATTTCTGATAGGAGATAATAACGTGAAACCGATTTTAAAGGGAAATCTGAAGAAAAAAATAAAAATAAAAGAAAAGGTTACTCTAAAAATAAAAAAAAAATGCATATTTTGGTTAATTAGTTCTACAAAGATAGTTATCTAAATGACATGCCAATAAACATGTCATTAGGAGATTTTGTTGATCCGAATCTCACGATTTTAAAATTGATTGATTAATAAATATATATTCCTTCGTAATAGGAGATTTTGTTGATGTATACTATCTAAAAAATATCTTATCACATATTTGAATTTTTTCCAAAAAAATTGAATAGTTATAACGCCGCGATTTTTTGGCGTTCAATATAACAATTAATACGGATTGCAGCGATTTTTTGGCGTTCAATTTAACAGCTCATGTAAGGAAAGCAATAAATGCAGAATAAAAAATGTTGTCCGCGATTTATAATTAATGTTGTCCATTAAAAAAAAAAGTTTCCATTGGAGGAAATCAATAAATGGAGAATGAGTGTACCATAAATTGATCTGCTATTTTTTATAAATGATAAATCTTATTATATAAGTATAGATTCACTCTCCACTCCAAATATCACAAAATATATGCCAGTCATTAGATTCATGAATGATCCTCACTTCAACTATGAATATGAGTTAAATTCTTACCCGCCAGCTTCCTATAATGATCTACTTTAGAGGTGAAGGCAAGCCGACATCAATCACTAAATTAGAAAAAGAAAAAAAAAAGTTCACAAGCCCGAAATAGAGCCAAATGTATTTGTTGGACTTTATTTTTGGAGTTTTTATAGGTGAAATAGATAAAACAATCAATTTCAATTGATGTGTGCATAGTTCGACTAAAGCAACTGAAACCGACTGAACTGAAAATTTTAGTTCGATTTTTATCAGACTCGGTCGGTTTTCAATTATAAGTCTATAATTTGTCAATTATTTCAGTCGTTTGAACACTAAAATCACACGATGTACTACATTAATATGCAGGAACAGAGATTAAATCTCTTTTAAAAAATCAGGCATAGGATGCTGAACTTGTTCCTTACCGATGTACATGCTACATGCACAGAGATTA